TGTTGATGCAGACTTGTTTAAATTAGCATTTCCTTTGTTTAGCATCTGCCTTTAGGGACCGAGAACTTGAAAACTTTGAACATAGCTTGTTTTCATTCCAATAAACACAGCTGATATATGAAAAACTACTCATAGTTGCACTTTGCTCTGATGGGTGAATATAGCAGGAGCTTTAATGAACTTACATAGCTCAAAATGGGCAGCCACTGTCTGTGAGCTCACTGCAACATGACCTTCAATTCTGCCTACCCTGTATCCTATTTACACTGAACTGAGATACTCACTCTAAAAAAACCTGTTTATCTTCTCCGAAGAAGAGAAACAAGATGTGTTTTCTAAATTTGAGTTAAAACAAAAAAAGAAGAAATTCCTGTTTTCCTTTCAGGGGGAATTGAGGGGAGAGTTGTGCTTTTTAAGTAGCCTTTCCATTTCTAAATGTGTTGGTTTGGGGGTTTTTTGTTACTGTTATGTCTAATACTGCCCATTTTTTTTCTTAATACTTTGTTACGCTAGAGGGAAAATGCATGAAGAATGAGGCTTTCAGCCTTCACTAGTCATTCTTATTATTGCCATGGTACAAACTATATACTTGCTACGTGAGGTTGCCACAAAAGGCATTCTAAAAGGGCATACATATTGCAATGTGTTGCTCATCCATGCTGGGGTGTCAGAGAAGTTCATGTGTACCCAACTCTGATAGTAAAGCAAAGCCAAAAAAGGTAATAACTTTCAGTCTTTACAGATTGTTGGAAAATATTTGAATGTGCAAATTTGCAAAATGAAGAAAAATATATTTTAAATCGTTATCTCAAATTGTCTTTTCAGCAGCTGTGTGTGACAGCCTTCCAGCTGTGCTCATTCACTAAAATAGTGATTTGATTTCTGTTAAACACAATAGGTGGGTACTTGGAGTATAGAACAAAGTATTTTAAAATACCCTTACCATGTGATCTCCATGCCATAATAATTCTGTAAAGGAAAAAGGACTGATAAGTAAGCCATGCATGCTCCAAGAAAGGAAGGGATTATAATTAGTATAATCTGTGAGAGTTGTTTTGGTGTGTTAATTGGTGAGCATTGTTTCTGTCAGTAACTTAGAAGTTTGTTATATTTCTACAGTAGCTACCAGAACATTTTTAATTAGAGCTGGAATGTGCTGGTGGGTAAAAGTCTTGAGTCAGTTCTGGGTGCCTGAAAAAAATGATCGAGATGGTGAGGATGATATCAAAGCAGGTTCAGATAAATACATTCCAGTCTCTTGGAATCCAATCCTGGCAGAAAAAAACCCAGGTTCTCCCAATTTGTTCTCTTGAGCATATTTCAACCAAGAATAAATAAAAGATGCGAGACAGCCTGGTAGATCCTTCTCGTGCGTTGCAGAAGCAGGAAGGAGGAGGTATGAGATGTGAGTTTTGGAGGCCTGTTAGTGAGGGAATACTGGGGACTTGCTGTGCTCCACCACTTAGAAGATCTTTAGGAGTTGCTGAGCTGATGCCTTGTGTCTCAACCTGGCTCTTTTTCCATTCATGAAACTGCCTTTGCTTACCAAGTGCTTAAAATAAGGGGGTTTTGTGACTGTCTCTGTTGAATTTCTAAATATGGGCAGCACATTCCTTCTGTTTATTAGCTACTGTGCTGTTTGCACAATTGTAATCACAAGGCAAACATTCCACTTGCACTTAACATAGTCAGTGGAAGGGAAAGGGGCAGGAATACCTGTGGACAGGGCTCGGCCTGATATGTTCATTGTAAGGATCTCAGTTTGACTTTCCTACCCCAAACTGATTTTCTAAGATTGACAGCTTAGAAACAGTTTTACTTATATCTGGTAAGGACTTAATGCAAAAATCCGACCCAAGCAGGGGTATACTGGCTCAGAACACACAGCCCAGTATCCTGTTTCTAATGAGGGAAAATAGTGGTTTCTGGAAAAGGGGTGCCCTGCTGTTGTGGTTTGTCTGGTTTTTAATACAGTGACAAATCCTTGCTGGTTTTTCTCTGATTTTGGCTCATAAGTTTTTTCTTTAGGTGCAGTGGATCTGGTGTGTTGCTCTTCATAGCAGAATCTGCACTTTGATTTTTAAGAGTGTAGACAATGAAACAACTGTTTCCAAATACTTCCACCTTTCTGCAGTTAATTTTAAAATTGCTGTTATGTCAGAATACTATTGAATGCTTGTTGTCTTTCACTTCTGTCTAGAAATGTTTCATCATGCTTTATTTTGATGTGGTTTGTTTTCGTCATATTTATCCCTTATCCACTAAAGGAACTAATTTGGGAGTTCTGCACTGGAGGGCAAAGTCCTAAGAAGCTGCTTTGAAAACTGTGTTGTCTGTAATGTCCCAGTGCTGTGTGTGACGTGATGTGTGACACTGGGCAGGGCAGAGCATGGGACAGGGTTTTCCTTTGGGCAGGTTCCCTGAATCAGCTTTGTGAGGCTTCTTGAAGGACTGAGTGGGAGGTGCCAGCAGGGTCTGCCAGCTGAAACAGCACAGCCTGCACTCAGAACTGTGGAGGCTGCTCCTCCCTCCCCTGTGTGCCTGTTGGTCTTGAAGACGGCTCTTTCTGGCCATCCCATTCCAAATTCCATGGCATATAAAGTATTTGGGAGTCACTTCAAAGGCAAGAAAATGTCAAGCCTCAACTGTTCTTTTTTTTGTTACAATACGACACTGATGTGGAAAGCAGTCTAAAATGGATCTGAGGAAATGGGTACCCTTCTCTGCTGTGAGTTTTAAGGCCCACAGGAGATGTGTTGTAGAGCTCCCTAAGTTTATACAGATCAAAGCATGTCCTTTTCCACCGGAAGGGTTCAATGCCAGAACCTGCATTCCCAGCCCATGCATGAATACGACAGCTCAGATCTACTGACTCATTTTATGCTACCTGACCCTGAAAGATCTGTGTTTACTCAGCCTCAGGGAGCAATACAGGGCAGTTTTTCAACCTTGATTAACTGCAGAATGAGACAGGGAGGAAGGGGTGTGTCTATCATAAATATCCCAAGTATTGAAGAAATACTTTTGAGTAGAGGTATTGAAGGAAGTCAAGGCTCTATATAAGAAGTAGTTGATACAAAACTTGTTATTTAATGACCAGCTGAAGCAAAGTTTGCTTTACCTTTCACCAGCAGTTTGACAATAGAATTCTTTGTTGCTAATGTTAATTTTGCCAAGATCTGTCTGCAGGGTTGTGGGTGGTCTGCATGCTGGAGAAAAGGAGCTTGTCAGATCTTCAGTGAGGACTGCTTATGGAGCAATTCTGAGATCACTGTCTGAGCGAGAGCCCCCTGCAAGCTTCTACCTGTCCTCCCTAGCATGAAATAGCACCTTGAATAAATTGCCTGCAGTAACAAGCTGAACAATGTGAAGTCAAACCTCAAATACCAAACAGTGGAACACGGTTTTCTTGAAGCTAGTTATATAGAGTGCATGTCCAGAAAATGCATGCAGCAGTAATGTCTCTTGTGAACCTGGATTCTAGTTTTCTTTCCCTCCAGTGTAATTCTGACATATAAAATATGGTGAGGTGATTTTTTTTCCTGCTGCCTTTATCAGGGTTTTTTTTCCAAGATTCTGCTTCTGAATACAGCTTTTATTTACTATATATATTATATATACACAGAGATGGATATTATTTTTTCAATTAGCACAAAGTACTTTCCGAAGTGTTCTGTTACTGTACTTACTTTAGGTGGACTGAAGAACAAACATACTGGGATTTGACTTACTGAGCCTGTTGCCTGATAGCTGCCTGCCTCTTCCCAAGAGGCAAAAGGTGTGCAGTAGGAGCTATATAGGTAACTTCTGCTTTTGAAATCTCAGCCAGCGTGTTTTCTTTTTATACTGAATCAACTTTTCTAACTTCCTGCAGTGTTTAGTCACCCATTGTATTCTTATGGCCTCTGCAGGACTCTTCTCTGGGTTGTCTCCAGCACAATGTTGGTTTCAATTCTTCAGTGTCTTGCTATTCCTAGCTAAAAGTTATAAAAATGTATAAAGAAATTATTTGTTTGTTCCTTTTCCTTGGTGCATGAAAGTGTGCCCCTTGATATTGGAGTCGCTTAGTCTTACTGACCTCTGGACTCCTTACATAGCAACGAGTGCTTTTGTTTATTTGCTATACTCCACCTTGTATTTCTTATCACAGCCCATAGCTCTGCCCACATTCATCACCTTAATTTTAGTGAGAGTCATGGAATGCTTACAGTACAGCAAAGGCTGTTATATCTGAACAGTGCACTCTGAAATATTAGTTCATATTAAACAGATTTGTCGTGGTGGCTGAAGTCTTCAAAAATACAATAAACATCTAAGATTGCCTTTGGACACAAAAGGCACTCTGTTTCAAAGCATTCAGGAGGTACAAGAGGTCACTGCAGTGTTCAAGGATCAGGCTGCTTTACTAAAAGCCCGCTTATGTAGAGATTTAGGATATTAGGTTGAGAATCTTGGTTATATACCAAGGGGTCACTGAAAGTAGAGTGGACTCTTAAGTGCTTTGGAGCTTCTTTGGGAAAACAATTTTTTAGCAAAAAGTTACTGTAAGACTTGTGAAAGTCTCCTTGTAGTCATAATATCTTATGTTACACTTACGAGTTGTGCTGATCTGTAGAACTCCTGAGAGATGAGTTTGTTAGATGAGAAATTTTAGGTGGTAGTTATTTAGTCTGAAGTTTTGAGGAATGTGGTTTTAAAATTCTGTTTCCCCCTCCCATGCAATACCTGATTTGTCATTTTCTAGCTGCTTTTATATTGGCCAGCTCGCTCGGTGGTGGGTTTTTGCTTTACTAAATTCAGTGAAATTCTTTCAAGATCCTTTTTAGACATCCCTTTGTTTTACTTCCCCGAGGGCAGGTAACGCATCAGAGCCAGCTCGCTGTTTAACTAATGTCTCACAGGTAAGGAGGGAGGGGAAAAGCCAGGGGAGGGAGAGCGCGTCACATTGGAGGAGGGGAGCAAAGAAAAATGAGCTTTCTTAAGCAAATCATGTGCAGAGGGACAGGCTGCCAGGGCTCCGGCGATTCTCGGCGCGGGCTCTGCTCTGTTCCCTGCCGGCCACCATGGAGGAAGAAGCTGGAGTGCTGAAGGAGGGCTTCCTCGTCAAACGGGTGAGTGCTGTGCTTCCCCTGGGAGCGGCTCTGCTCCGCATGACAGCAGCTCCTGAGCAGGAGCGGAGCAGGGGCTGGCTCGGAGGGGCCGCTGCCTGCTCCTGGGAAAGGAGCTGTGCTCCGCATGGCAGCAGCTCCTGAGCAGGAGCGGAGCAGCCCGGGCTCACGGCGGGGCTGGCTCGGAGGGGCCGCTGCCTGCTCCTGGGAAAGGAGCTCCTGGGAAAGGAGCTCCTGGGAAAGGAGCTCCTCCGGGCTGGGGCAGGTGCCTCCCCGGGGAGCTGCATGAGCTGCAGCTGTCCTCTACACACCCGCAGGTGCCCTGTGCTGGCATTTCTGCGGAGGAGGGTGAATTAGCCATCGGGATTACCCAGGGGTTGGAAAGCCAGCACGGCTGCACCTCGCACGCCGCTCTGCAGGGAGCACACCCACGGCAGCGGGGACCACCGTGGGAGGATGGAGACAGGAGAAGTTTTGGGTCGGTCAGGATGGCTTGTGCCTTCTTCAGTGACGTGTCTGTGCAGAGTTCACCATTTCATATGAGAGAATGGAAAAACGACTCCTTTTTTTGATCCCCTTTTTGAAGGGGATCAAAGCAATTCTAACTTAAAAATGCTTTTGAAATAACTCATTTTTTCTATTCTCGTCAAGCAGTACTGTTAGAAAATTCTAACAAGACAAAATGTGGTGAAAAGAGCTGAAAGATTTCAACCTTCCCAATACTTCTCCCTGTAGGACCAAGTCAATCATTGCTGGTACACAAGGAGGCAATTTAGCAAGGGGCATAAACTGCTTTTAGTACCAAGAACCTGTCTCAATGATTAATATGGTCCTTGATTTCATAGAAAAAAATGTGATTGAGAGGTTTGTTCAAAGCTTTGCCACGCCTAGGGAAATGCTTTTGTGCAGTACGTGGCAGTGTTTCTGGTGCTAACATGAAGGCAATCCTGGTCAGGAGTTTTCCTGGCAGGGCTCCCGCCACTTGGCCAGCCAGACACTGGCCAAATGAAGTTCTGTGTGGAAAGGGGGCTGTTCTCCATCCTGCCTTCTGCAGCAAGGGCAGAGCAGTCCCAGCTGCCAGTCTCCTCTCTGGGCTACAGCTGTACTTTTTGGCTCTTCAGTGACTCCTGAATTAAATGGGAAGCCTTGGCACCGAGTGAGAGGAGTAGGTTATTGGCAGCACACAGAGCTGTGACTGCTGGTCTGTACAACATCACCCAAACACACAGCTGGACAGGAGGGAGACCACAAAGAGGACAACTGAGGGACAAGGGAACCAGGGATCCACAGAGAAGAAAGGAGAAAGGGATGGGATCAGGTAATGAAAACAGAGCTTTCATAAGAAGAGAACAGAAGCAAGGAGATTATCTAAATGCATTATAAATAGAATTGTGTACTGTAATGCATTATAAATATAAAATTAATGCATGGAATTAGGTAAAGATAAATTTTAAAAGGCGACCTCCTGAGAAAAAAAGAACATTTCCAGAAGGAAAGAATAGAGCCATAGCAAAGAACATACAGGAAAAATGGCCAAGTAACTTTACAACAGGTGAAAAAAACCCTGAGGAATACAAAGGGAAGGAGAGAAAAAAACTGAGATAGATAAATAGTATTTAGTATGGACTAGAAAACATTGGCTCTACAGTGCCCTGGATTTTAGAGACTTGTTACTCCACCTTTACTTGGAGATTGCTGGGTTTCCCCTTTATTTACAGAGAGCTAATGAGCTTTGATTCATGCCACAACTGGACCTTACATGTTTCTTTCTTCTAGCCATGCCCACCCTATCCCAGGTGTCAGAGCTCCTTTTACCCTCTGCTTTGCCTGCTGGCTGTAATGCTCCATCCCCTGTAGAAACACAAGTCAGCTTCTTGCACAGCAAAGCTGGACAGACACCATCAGACAGGACTAAGCCTGCCAGTGCCAGCCCTCACTGGCTTTGCTGTCCTTTAACCAGACTAAAGAGAGCTGGGGGCTGTTTACAGAGGAAAAATGGAGGATTTGTCTGTATTGTATAATCCATGAAGCATTCAACAGCAGCCATCATTCAGTCTTTTGTCATCAAAAAGCATATTTCCTTTACAGGGAACAGTAGCACAGGGAATGTTTTAGCCCAGGAGGTTGGAGACAGGATTGAAATGAACTTCTCGTTAGCAGCAAGGGGAGGATGTAAGGAAAAGCCAATTCACCCAGCAAAACTCTTACAAAACAACTGGGCACCTAGAGCCACTTCAAAATGAAAAAGACACCCCCCAGGGTCACCAGAGAGGAGGAGCTGGTTTCCAAGAGCCCTCACACATTTTGGATTTAGCCTGTGCTGTCAGCAAACAGGTGTGCACCTACATCAGCTCTTTGGGATAGTTTATGTGAGCTTTTACAAGAAACCTTTTGTGCCAGTGAAGTTCTCCAAAGTTCTTGAAGAAAGAGCACAGCGCTTTTCTACTCCTCTATATCTTTATAGTGATGTAGCTATGCTATTTTGTTACTTAAAATGTGTATTTCAGGGAGAACAGGACTCACAATGACTTCTTGTGCTTCTTTTCATACAAGAAGGCAAGAAGAAAATATGGTCATTTCTCCGTGCTTGTGTTACAATCAGCTATGTGGATTTCCTCCCTCCAGGGACATGTTGTTCGCAACTGGAAAGTGAGATGGTTCGTTCTGCTTCAGGATAAGCTGCTCTATTACAAAATTGAAGGAGGCAAGAAGGAGCCTTCTCCAAAGGGCAGGATCCTTTTGGATGGCTGCACTATTACTTGTCCATGCCTGGAATATGAGAACAGACCGGTATGACTGGAAAAATGTATCTCTTCTCTATGTCACTCATTTTCTAACTTCTTCCTCTCTTTTCCTCTCCTCCTGGCTTCTTTGATTACTGCAACCATACCACTGGGGTGCTTCCAGAATTAGGCCCAGCCAAAAGCAAGCTGCCACTAGCAGTGTAACCAGGACAAGCACTGAATCCCTCATTGTCTCTTCCCTGTGCCCAAATGTGAGTCAGCTATTAACAAAAAAACAACCCCACTCCTGTACACACAGTGAGGAGAAAAAAATGTAAGTGTATCAGCCCAACAGTGTGTGGACAGAGGATATGAACAACCCAACAGAACCGGAGGAGGGTGGAGGAAAAGGGAAATATCACCTGTGATAGTTGCCTTAAAGCCTGGGTATCATGGGGTGCTCCCAGGCAGCCAGATCAGACTCCTTTTTCCTTTACCAATGGGATATTGGTGCTGTAGAAAGTTTTCAGCAAGAGGACTCTGGAAGAAAACATTCCTTCTGTGTCTTTCTGCTCTCCCATGGGTAGCAGCAATGCAGATTTCCTCTGTGTGGGGTATCTGTGTGGTCTGCTCTCTTCTCCAGGAACTCCATGCATGTAAACCATGTTTATAACTGAAAACCCAGGGACTTGAGGGGGATCGAAGAGCCAAAAAAATTACAAAAAAACAACCCCCCCTCAAACAAAAAACCCCCACAAGCAAACAAAAATAAACAAACAAACAAAAAAAACCCACCCAAACAAACAAACAAAAACCAAACAAAAAACCAACCAACCAAAAAATTTTAAAAAACCACCAAAACCAGCCCAGATTTGTGCCCACCATCCTTCTGAACAAGAATTACTCTGAACTGCTCAGGTGGGATGCACTGTCAGACTTACTTGTGTCACTTGGGCCAGTGCTAAAAAAAGCAAAATGCAAGAGGAGCGAAATAGGTAAATGATGTTATTGCTTTGTCCTTCTTTCTCCACAGCTACTCATCAAACTAAAGACAAAAACCAATACAGACTATTTCCTTGAATGTTGCTCCAGGGAGGAACGTGACTCTTGGGCTTTGGACATCACTGGAGCTATTCATGCTGGTCATCCAGTACAGGTACAAGAACTTCACAGAATGAAGAACTCCTTCAAACTGCTAGAAAATATCAGCCTCCAGTAAGTGTGTATGATTTCTCCTTCTGTTTTTGCTGTAGTTTGCAAAGTGCCTGAGTTGATGGATGGGGAGGGCCAAGGGAAGCTCCTTTCTGCACAGATCTGCTCCTGTGTGGCCATGAATCCCTGAACTGGCTGTCCTAGCTTTGCACATACTTTAGCCAGGGATTGCACTTTTTCCTGACCATCATCTTTTGGGAGTATGTGGGTTCTGCACAGGCTGGCTTGAATACCTTCCTAGTCAGCTGCAAATGACCTCACTGGGGACATGTATAACCTCAAAGGATGTAACATCAGGGAAGCACCAGGTGGTGGATTTCTGCCCTGTTGCTGAGTTTTCAAAGCTGATATCTGGAATCCAGACATGGATTTTTAGGGTGCATCATCTTAAATAAGAGGAAATGGAGACTGATTAAGAAACAGAAAAAATATATTAATTTGATTTGTGTTGAACAAGTAAATTGGGGTGACTATAGATCAGTTTGCAGTGCTCTGAATTGAAAGATATTTTGTGAGGCATCTTGTTTAGGGCTGCTGTTGGGAGAATAAAGTTTTCCTGGAATGTACTTAGGACAGTGCTTCTGGGGGAGTGCCTAGAATACCTCCCATCTTTATGTGGGTAATCATAAGGACACCCCTGGCACTACAGCTATTTCTGCCTATCTCTCTCATCTGCTGATGTTGTGCTGTGCTCTCATTTGCAGCAATATAGTGGAGAGAATGTATGACAGCAGCACTGGAATTAAGCTGACCCGCAATTTGGATCAAGGCAACAGATACAAAGAGACCTTCACAGGTACATCTGGCAGGCAAAGAGCCACCTCACATCTGATAAGCTACATTGCAGGGACAAGGGAGCTACTGTACTGCCTTCATAGTGCGATAAGCTCTGGCCCATTGGAACCTGACAGTGCAGCCAAGCTCTCCCACACCTTTCTCTCCTGCTCTTTGGATGTATGGAAGCATACTTAGGACCCCAGACTTTTGGTCAACTTTGCACTTCTCTGACAATCTTGGGGATGGTGCCAAAATGTTTCTGCAAGTGAAAACCTGTGTGGCAGGAGACCATCTGCCTTCCTTCAGAAGAGCACACTGTCTTGGTATGAGAGCTGCCTCTCTTCCTGCAGGTTCTGCCCTGGTGGACTGGCTCATCTCCAACAGCTTTGCTGTGTCACGATTCGAGGCCGTCACCTTGGCGTCCATGCTGATGGATGAGAACTTCATCAGGCCCGTGGGAGTCCGCAGCACCGAGGCCACGCGCTCCAGCGACCCCTCTGAGAAGTTCCTTGACGACTCCACTGCACTCTACATGTTTGTGAGTGATGCAGCTGCCCCACAGGCACCTACTCTGGCCCCCGTCACACACTTGGTTTGGGGTACAGGTGCACAGCATGCAACCAAAGGCAAATGTGCAGGCTGGGAAAGTAAATGCAGAAGGAGCAGCTCTAGTCTTTTAGTAGTACTAACACTGGCACTTTTGCTACATGGGAGCCAAATAGCTACATGGATATGGAGGGATCTACAAATTACATAATTTAGGCATTAAAAGAGGTGTGTCCCTGGAGTGCAGTGCTGTGTCTGCATGCATTGGAGGCAGTGCTGTAGTTGTGCTACAGCTCAAGGCCACAGCACGTATACCCAGCATGTACAGCTGTGATTTGTTGCCTGTGAATTTTGGTCCTACAAGGCTGAGCAGCAGAGCTATGGAGTAGAACTTACTCATTATATATAAGATAAAAACAGCTAAGGAAAATAAAATGGAAAATAAAATGGAAAATAAAATGGAAAATAAAATGCAGAACTTTGTACTTTAAAGTCTGTTTAGATTCGAAAGAAAAGTGGAACTGTCTTTTTCCTATTTGCAGGCTGAGAGCAGTAAGAAAAATACTAGTTCCAAGGAAGAGGTCAATTTTAACATCTCTGAATTAAGTGGCACAATTGTGAAGCAAGGATTCTTGGTGAAACAGGTAAGTATAGTCTTGGAACCTGCCCCGGGAAACAAGAAAAAGTACAGCTCTTAGGGTTTCTTAGAGAGTAAATGTGACTTATACAATGATGGCTGGACAGATGTGCCTAGCAGAACTAACTTGCCTGTCAGTACTTGAGGTCTTGCAGTTAAGAGTATGCTGTTATAAAGAAGTGAACTGTGGAACTTGCTCAGGCAGGATTAATTGGATATTCTGTACCTATTGAGCATATACTGAAAGGTACAAAACAGCATCAGAAGCAGAAGTACCACACAACCTCCAAATTCTACCAGATGTGTTACATTCACTTCCAAGCAGAGCCACCGTTCCTTTGGTTTAGCCTATCCCATCCAGGTGATGTGAACAGTGAGGATGTGTTGCTGGCCACAGACAACTTTCAAAGCTGAGTAGCTTGACCTTTGTATGAAGTGGATATTTATCTGTGCGCAGTTGTCATGTACACATGGCTGCTTTGGTGGTAGTAAAACATGTTTTTTGGGCACAAGTACCTGTTGGCAATAACTGTTTTCCAAGACCTGCCCAATTGGTCTGCAAAATGTAGTTTCCAACGCTTGCTGTGAACAAGATGAGGGTCAATAAATTTCAGAGCATAACACAGCTGCCTGCAAAAGGAATCCTACGTGCACTGCATGGCCACACAATTACTCTGAAGCCTTGTACCGAGCCCCACCCTTAGCGTTGTGCAAACTGGATCACCAGATGCTTGCCAGCCCTCCCTCCTCCAGCTGCCAGGCATCACGAAGGTAGGCAGGGTGCTGCAGGATCCCCACAGGCTGGCAGGGCAGCCCCCATATGCACAGGACACGAGAGCTGCCCAGGAGCTTCTGCCCATGGGCAGCAGCAGCCAGGGACAGCCCCCAGCAGCCCCAGCCCCGGGCTGGCCCTGAGCCCCAGCACCAAAGCTCCAGGAGAGGGAATGATGCCAGGGCCTGGCACAGGCCTGGCAGCAACGGGAGGGCTGCAGAAAGAGCTGCAAAAGGACCTGACATAACCCCTTTGGAGCACAGAGCATGGGATTTTAATCTGAAATGAAAAGCAGGAATGAGGGATATAAGCATTTGTTCCTGTCACTCTGCTTTCTTAGTTCTCAGCACAGGCAAGGAAGAGATGAAGGAATTGTCAACATATGAAGAAGAAGAAAGATCAGCAGAAGGTCATGGGAATTACCAAGATGTTAGGAATTTTTTTTTTTCTGTTGGATCCAAACCCTCTTTTTTGGTATTTATTTATGTCTCCCCTACAGCCTGTAGGAAAATGGTCATTTCAGAAGGTAGTAATTTTAATTCTTCCATTTTGCAGGGGCACAAAAGGAAAAACTGGAAGGTGAGAAAATTTGTTTTGAGAGCTGATCCTGCTTTTTTGCACTACTATGATCCCACCAAGGTACGTGAGTGGGAAGTCACCAACCCCAGAAATCCTTTTAGAAATATAAACATTTTATAGCAAAGATACAGTTATGCTGTAAATGTTTGTATCATTCTGGGTTCCTCTGTCCATTTCCAGGAATTAGACCTCTCTGGCCTTACCCTAGGAGGTTGTCCTTGTAGGATTTTATACCCCTGCATCTTCTGCCTTTTTCCCAGTGAGATTCCTTTTCCTTAGCCGAGCAGCAGCAGCAATCCTCTTGGGATTGCTCTCTTGCTGAACCCTGCAGTCTGGGACCATGGTCCTGCAGGGTTTCTTCCTGGGTTGTGACCTCTCTGGGCTCAAATCCCACCATTTGAGGACCATACTGGTTCTGGGATTTTTTACATCCTTATTCCAGCATTGAATAGGGTCTTCTTAATGCCAAAGTATTTCTAGGAATTTCTACTACTCAGTTTTAAACTTTCTCATCAAGAGTAGAATTTATGTTCATTAATATAATAATCAATGGGAGCAACTCAGATACTTAGGGTACCACAAAGCCAAACAGGATTGCAAGAACATGTATAGAAATGCTTTATGTGACTTTTAAAGAGAATAGAAACAATATAACAGTGAAAAGAGCTTATGGAGCTAGTTCATTTTTTGTTTCCTGTACCTTCATGGTTTTGGGTTTGTTTTTTGGTTTTGTTTTTTTTTTTCACTGCAAATTATCCTTGTAAGGCTATAAGCTGAAACTGCAGAACCTAAAGGTAAGAAAAAAGAGTGCCAGCCAACCAGGGAAAAGAACTAGATTTTTCCCACACAGTCTCAGTGAAAAACAGCAAGCTAAATACTTACAGAAGTATATATAATTCAGTATGTTGTTACTGATAAAACCATATGTACATTTGAAGTGTGATTGCCTACCCTTGTGCTTTTAACTGATCTGCACCATGCCCAGCTACATCAGAGAAACATCTGGGACTAAAAAATATAGCAATGCCTTTAACTATATGTTCTAATTGATTTCTCTTGTGACATAGATGTTTCATGCCTGGAAAAACTGCCATTATGTCTCCAACTTCATAAAAGTGATGCACGTGCTCTGGGACATGGTGACATTTTCCAGACATGCCTTGTTTCCTTTTTCTTTGCAGGAAGATAACAAGCCAGTAGGTGGATTCTCTCTTCGTGGCTGTCTTGTCTCAGCTCTGGAGGACAACGGAGTCCCAGCAGGTGAGCACAAGCCTCTGAACTTTCATACATTTATATGTATGCTGTAACAACACATTCTTTGGGTATGGGTTTGTATGTGTGGCTTCTTGTATGCACAGGTGGGCTCACTTTCCATTTCCCTTCACAAGAAAGGGAAGAGGCGTGTCACAAGTGTCTGTACTGCTGGGTTGTCCACAGCAAAGGGGACACTTTTTTTTTTAGTGTTATTTCTGCATATCTTGAGTGTTCTCTTTATATGGGCTTTTCTTAGTCATATGACCTCTGAGACAGGCCTAAGACTGATTAATATTCCAGAGTTAACAGACAAAGAGAAACCACTTTCTTTTTGGGTGTTGTTTAACTCGAAGTCTTGAGGCATCCTCTGATGCTATCCACTTCTGTGTCCTCTCAACTTATGCTATTACCTTTTCCCTTCTGACCTGCTAGAACCCAAATGTAGGGGACACATAAAGACAGCAATAAAAAAACTAGTTCTGCTGGAGTATAGGCTTAGTTCAGGCATTTGTCTAGAGCTTCAGCCTCATAGATAAGTGTTTCTGCTATTAAAGCAATTTATTTTATGACAGTAAGCACAAAGTGTAGATACCAAATACAGAACAACTTTCTAAAGAGATGGTCTGAAAAAGCTCTGGTCTGGGGGCAGGGGCAGATGATGAACAACAGAGCTCCTTGCTAAGAGGAACCCAGCTATGGGTAAGAGAAAATATAATCTACCATGCAAAATGGTAGGGGTTCATAATTCATTCAGTGTATAACTCAAGTAATAGTCTCCACCTAAACAGAGACTATTTTAGATGTTGTTCAGTGCACAGTAGTTCATACAATCTGTGGCAAGAGTGTCTATACTGTATTTTCATAGAATCACTGAATCAACAAATGTTTGGGTTAGAAGGGACCCCAAAGATCATTTAGTTTCAATCTCCCTGTCACAGAGAGGGTCAACTTCCACTTAACCTGTTTGCTCAAAACCCTATCCAACCTGGCCTTGAACACTTCTAGAGGTTTTTAAGAGGGAAATCAAAGACACAAAAGCTTTAGATGTCTTATCCGTAATAAAAAGGAAAGATTTGATTCCCTAATTTATGAAATTCAAATTCCTTGTGAAGCTTCATAACTGCCAGAAAGATTTTCTCTGTGCACCCTGCTGATCTGTCGGGCTTTTTTTTTCTTTGCAGGAGTGAAGGGCAATGTGCAAGGCAACCTTTTCAAAATCATCACCAAAAATGACATTCATTATTACATCCAGGCCAGCTCCAAGGCAGAGCGAGTGCAGTGGATTGAGGCAATCAAACCACTGACATGAGTAATGTGGACTCCATGCCAAATGAGTCCACATTTAACAGCTGCTTTGATCACCTGATATAACTTGGGTTTATTTTTATATGTTCTAAAGAACTTAAAACCACATTTATGACCAACTTCCTGCTCTCGTTGTCTGGGAGTCTTGTTTTTCCCTTGACAGTCAATGTTCATTATTTGAATCACCATGACACCTACCAGGTCCTGGCAGACCATGCAGACCAAATCAAGTAGATCCAGAATAACACCCCCACCTTGAATTTACCATCAAACCATCAAGACCAAAACAGGTGGATACAGACAAATGGGGCTTCATGAAGAAACGTCAAGATATTCCAAGATGGAAGAAAAGGATCTTTTGTATAAGTATTCAGTCTATGTCTGACAGATCCAGGTTGTGCTTTATCTTAAAGCAGAATTGTCTTGCTCCTTCCCCCTTTATAAAGGGGCTCATAAACTTAGCTAGTTAAGACTGAAACATCTAAGTCATGAAAAGTGCTGGTATCTGAGGCTGCCTTTCTTGGCATACCACACGAATCTTGTGCTAAGCCACAACCCAGCTGCCAGGATAATATGCATTGCAAAACAAACAAGGGGTCTGTCTGTCCACCCATCTGCTCTACTATTTAGTTCTCTGTCAGACTGGAAAAGAACAAAGGATCTTGCTCCTCACCCGTATAGATTACTCTTCTGCTGGTAATGGCCCATGTCAGAACAGGATCCTGAGTATCAAAGCAGACCAGTGGAAGTTCCAGACAGTTTCTGGTAATGAATATAGTGGAAGAAATCCCTCAGCCATAAAAGCAAGACTTTTCCTTCTGATAATTACCGTAAGTCCATTTAAGTTAGAGCACAATTTGAACAGAGAACTATAGTAGCAGTCCTAACTATTGCTTTTTCTATCTTAAATAATTTTTTCCCATTATTTGTCTACTAAACTTGTCTTTGATATCATTAAATATAAAAAAACAGTGCATTTGAATATCCTGTGCTTTTTAGAGATGTGATTTTTCTCAGAGGGCAGTTTGAGTAAATGAAAAATAATGGTTTAGTACACTATAATTTTAGGTTTATGTATAAACTGAGACACCAGAGGATAAAATGGAATGTAGGAAGTTCTTCAGACACCCAATCAGCTGCTGATACACTACTTTCATAAAACTTCTTGTTTTATCTGAGTATCTTTTTCTGACAGCCAGATTTTTTAGAGCCTTCAAAAAGGCAGCATGCTCAATATCTTCCCTGAAGTCATAGAGGAATTTGATAACCCTCTATCCACGGATTCATTTCTGTACAGACGTTTTGGTCTCTGAGTTGTGTAAGTACAAGAAGTCCCATCACGACCAAAGCCAGAATATGATAAATTTGTGTTTATTTATTAAAATAGCCATGTTGTAGGATTTTTCTCAACAGTTACAGCAATGAAATAACAGCACAACTCTTACATGCACTCAAATATTTAAGAGAGCTTGTAAAGAAGTTTGCTAGCAAAGGTGTAGTTTTAATTACATGCAAGAACAAGAATGGGCAGTGCAGTTTCAGCTGCAGATACCATTTCTTAGGGCTGGTCCAGAGAAGACTGTGAAATCCACAGCTGTCAAAACCTTTCAGTTCTGGAAAAGCTGCCTGGAAGAGACAGGGTAAGGCAGGTAAGGTATTTATTGCTCTCTGCTGGAAGGCACAGATGGTTTTGTGCTGACTGAGCAGAGCTTCCAGAAAAAGCAATCCCCTCCTGATAACGTGAGCCTTGCTGGGGCCCATCAGACTCCCTAATTCATTTATAAGAAAATCTCCTGCTTCTCTTTTCTCAGACCCACCACCTACATAATGCCCAGTTGTAGTCACACGGCTAACAACAGCCAGCCAGCACAGAGGACTGAGCTCTGCCACCTGGCATGCCTGAGGGGGTAAGGAGCCATAAGGATGCGAGATACTGCATAGCATCATAAATCTTGCAGTTTGGGAGGCCAGAAGTGTTTCTCAGCAAAGGCATTGGGATTTATCTGGACCAGCCATAGCTTTGCAATTGCTGTGAGTGTGTATGGGGAGAAAAAGTGTGTTTCTCAAACACACCAGTGAATTAAAAAGATACAGTTCCCACTCTCCAGAATCAGCTGGGGGAAAAAGACAAAACATGTCTGAGAAAGTACATTTTCCTGTGTCCTCTGGTGGTATCCTGGTCTCCTTCTTTCAAGCCACTTTGGTAAGCTTGATGTCCCCTGAGATCCGCAAAGCTTTCACCAGGTTCAGAGGCTGAATGCGGTGAGTGAAGTCACAGAGCTGCCGTCCATCAACCAAGACTCGTATCTGCTGGTGTTCACATAAGAGCTCCATCTGCAGTGGAAAAGGACAGGGAAGGCTGTTGGACATCAGCAGCAGATCTCATTTCAACAGCATGGACTTAGAACTAAATGCTACGGGAAACCACAAAGCAAAGCACAAAGCCTAGCAGTTCTTTTGAAATGCCCCTAATAAATAACCTACCCTCTTTTGAGGTGATACTGCAGAGCTCCAGTGGGTACTCTAGCTGTGATTAGAGAAAGAGATGCTTCTTTCCCATCAGGCTCAAGCTGTTGCTGTCTAGACAGCAGGTTAACTGGACTAGTTAACCTGGCAATGCCAGTGGCTGGCTGTTGGTAGTGATATAGATAGCTTTTAGCTTTTCTCCCCTCCTTTTCTCTACACTTTTCATAGTACCTGAAAAATTACCTTGAACGTGTCACCTGCTGTAAATGGAAAGTAGGGAATAGTCTTCTCTTCCCTTCCCCATTTCCCAGCAATTCGTGCATTTCGGGTGATGGATTTCTCACTGAAGTTAACTGTAAATAACAGCCCAACATCTTTGTTGGCATCCACTGGATCACAGAGCAGAGTCACTGAAAAGCTGAAAAAAGATCTATTAAGTGACTGGAACTTTCAGAAATGTGAAAGGACATGGTGAACATGGCAGGTGCATATAGAGACTAGAGACAGCTGTTGGTTCCATGTCAGACTGAAACACAGGACTTCTACTGGCTTAGAAGCTGGAGAAAGGGATGAGACCTGGCTGGTCTTTGTTTCCTGCCCCAGTGTCCAGTAGAATGCTAGTGATATCTAATGTTGCTTTCCCTCTGTCTTGACTGAAATCAAACCCTTCAAAATGTACTCATTTGTGTCCTAAAAAAGGTTATGGCATACTCTTCACCAGTGGAAGCAGTGGAGCTGATAGCTGTGGATGCAAAAACTGTGTAATGATGAGCACAGGTGCTATTATCCAGATAAAAGACAGCAATGAACCTTCACCTCCTGTGCCAAAACTGGTTTTTAAACGGTGTTGATTCCAACCCCCCACAGACAACCAAGATTCAGGTTGAGAATTGCACCTCTTCCTGAAAGAGAAATGCCACTTATGTGTTCCCTCCAGTTCACATTAGATAAGGGCAAGGAGTAGAAAATCTTGTCAGGGCAGTCAGAAAGGCCGAACAGTGAAGTCCTCCCTGACCTTTTAATCTTCGTCTGAGTGCAGAAAAATTAAATAAGGCCATAAATTGTTAATCTGTTTGACTTTCTTCCTTCAAAGAACACATACTTCCAAGAAAGTGTCTGAATTTAGAAGACAGGTAGGAGCATGTATAACAGGGTGAAGCCCCCAGCAGTCCCTTCACCTACCTCTTGGGTTTGGAGTGTACCATGCCTATGACTGTGAGTTTCATGGTTGGTCTCAGGCCACCTTTAATTTCACCAACATACTGCTCCACCTGCAGGGAACAGTGAAAATGGCTTCAGTGGGTCATGCTGTGGGTAAACCAGCTTTAACAGCTGCTTTGATCACTTCACATAACCTGGGTTTACTTTCATATGTTCTAAATAACTTAAAAGTATTTCCAGCTCAAAGTACTTCTTGCACTCTGATGACACAATAAATCTGGTAACAGCACTCCAGTTGCTCTGGTCACAGCAGATGAGAAGCTTTGTGGCAGCATAATGTGTGGGGCTTGAACCTACTCTGTCTTGCTACCTCAAATTTGCTACCAGATTTTGGTGGGCTAACTTGGCACCACCAAGCCTTACACCAGGCCAGGCAGGCTCTGTCCTCCACTGCAAAAAGCAGCACTGTAGATGCTGCCCTGCCACTGCACGCTGACCACATCCTCACAGGCAATCCCAGTCCTTTTGTGACAGTGACTTTGAAAAGTCACACTCTTTCAGAGGCAAAGAATGGCTTCTTGGTGGATCTGCTTTTGTCCTGTTCACAGAGACCTGCAGTTGCAAGCTGCACCCAAAGATCTGAGCTACATTTGCTTTTTCCAAGCAATTCTCTAACAGCTTTGATGGTCAGTGGGGGAACTAATACAGGCCATAGCTGACATAGAAATATTAAACAGAGAAACTTTGGAAACAATTGATAGGGATGTTTTGAGGTTTCGTCTTCAGAAATGGCTTTAAAATGTAAATATTAGAATACTACAGCATGTAATCACTCCCCAGGCAGATTCATTTAGAAAGAAGCTGCTATAAAACACTAAATGTTACTAGAAACTTGCGTAACACTGATAATATTCCAAGGCAAGGCACAACAGACCCTGTTTGAGATAAAAAGAGCTTTATCGTTCCAGTGTTCCAAGGTAAAAATTCAGACGGTTTTGCTAGAAGACTTGCACAATATATGCACACAAATTCAAGATAAAAAATATTTTTCCTGTACCTCATTTCCCAATTTTATTATACTAGTCGTGTCTTCTGCTAAGATGACCTTATACAATTTATTTTCCCACTTAGGTATTCCCATCCAGCTACCTTTAGAGCTTCACAGATGTATTAATAAACGTCTAATTCCTAACATGGTCAATATCAGAAGAATAATTTTAAAATTTACCTTCAAAAATGACAGCAGTACTACTAATTGTTAATGATGTAAATTTACTCTTGCAGGAGTGCATAGGTGACTCCAGCAAGTATGTTTTGAACTTTGTAACAAAAGAAATGCATCAAGGACTCGATATGTCTTACATAAGGAAACTGCTCATCAAGTAAAAAATCTGACTGTAGGGGGATACTTTAAACTGGATAAAGCAACTAGAAAGCAGGTAATAAGCATAAAAGATCTCAGATAAATGAAGTTCATGCTCACAGAGGTCTCATGTCCCACTAAAGCTTCTTCCTTGCCTAGAGACAAGATACAAAATACTACCCCAAATTGAAAGTGCACATTGAGAAATTGTTTGTGCAGAGGTGCACTGTAATAAGTGCCATCACTAAAGGCACAGGGTGTCAGAACTGAATAGAACAGATGACGACCACATGGTCTCAAGAGTCACAGCTCATCCAGAGTGGCTGGAGAAAATTTGGACGCGTGACTGCCCGCACACCATTTATGTGTGGACACCTAGTTAACCTAGCTACAGGTGAGAAATACTCAGGACGATGGAGGAAGTAATGGTAGAAACTCCTGCAGAGTTTATGGGTGGGTCCCAGCATATGCCCATGGGCACAGCTCCCATCCCGCATTTTCCATTCAGGAGCCCTGGGGACTGACTTGGTCACTTACTTTGGCACACCTCTCCTCTGTCATCACCGCTCTCCCTCCTACACCGGCCTCGCCGCTGCAGTCCCCGGAGCAGTTTTTGTTTTGTGTGTCAGGACAAAAGCAAACAAAAAGCCCGGAATAAAGGGAGGATGTTGAGGGGGGGGGTCTTATCTCTGGCAAACACCGGCCGGACACCACCCAGCCCGGCAGCTGAGTCACTCCGCCTGCGCCGGGCCCGTGAGGGGGAGGCCGCCACGAGCGCGGGGTGAGGGCAGCGGCGGCGGGCCCCGCTCGGGAGCGGGAGCCGTGCCTACGCGTTTGGTACGGGCGTGGAAAGGTCCGGCTGAGGGTGCACAACCCACTCCTAAGACACTCTGTGCTGCATACGCATACTTGTATATGCAATACATACAAACCCCACGTCATTTATTTCTTGATATCAACTCTCTCCTGTCTCAAATGCAT